CCCAAGTACAGGAAAAGCGTGGTAGTTCAGTGGGTTAGAGCTCTGGTATTGCAATGGGGAGGTTGTGGGTTCAATTCTGTCGGCTCTGATCAACCCCTGTGCATGATCAGTTGGTGCTAGGTTGACACCCAATGTACTTTTCGCCCATACCACTACAACATATAGTCAAATCAGTTGATAAAGTAGCTCGGTGGGTTGAGCTGGGATGCTGCAACATAGAGGTCCAGGGTTTGATTCACATTAGCCCTTTGCATCACATAGTTATTGATATAGCTGGGGTGCAGGCAGGAATCGATCTGGAAGACCTCATGGAGTGGATGATTACATAATGGTTGATTACCCTGGGGCCTTGCTTTGGGGGAGTAGGGTTGCAAGTGGGATGGTGATGGGGGGATTTGTAATGGAGGATTGTATGCTTCCCATGACAAGTAGGCTGGAGTGGGCGCAGTTGATGACAGAGGTATGAGAGCAAATGGTGGCCATTTACCTGCTGGTGACCGAGACGGGAGCTGCTCTGAGCGATGACAAGCCACAAATACAATGACTGGAGAAGTGTAGTTGATGACTGAGGTATGGTGGACAAGAATGTACAGGTGACAAAGGCTAGAATGCCCCAGATGATAAACAACGAGTAATGACCGAAACAACAACATAAACGATTGGAGAGGGGTCTAGTAGACGACTATGGTAGAGGGGCGGATGGTGGTTGTACATCTATTCATGATAGGCTAGAGCCTCTTAGAGGAGCGGGAGATGGCCATATATCTACTCATGATAGACTAGGTCATAACTAGAACAAAGTACAACCACAAGTAACTAGAGAGGGGTCTAGTAAAAAACTAACGTAGAGGGGCGGGCAGTGGCCGCACGCCTGTTGATGATAGGCTAGAACGCCTAGGTTGGATTAACAACATGACTTGAACAATCGATAACAACTGTGTTATATGGGTATACCTGGGTTGCTCAGGGGATGTCATAGGTTATCAATTGGTTAAGGGGGGTCATTAGACACTGCCTGTGATATCTAGGTTGTCTATGAGTAGATCCACACATTGTGGAGCCTGGGTAAACTTGGGGAGTATTGGGGGTCTCCCGATAAGGCCTATAGAAGGAACACGTACTCCTAGCGCCCGAGGTACGCATATGACAAGGTTTGTTTGACCATGCTTCAACAAGGTTTGCTCGACCATGCTTTACGCAGGGCCGAGTGGGGTTCTGGCTCAACCCTGGTGCCTGCACTCCACCGAGATGGTAGAAGGGTGATGGTCCTGAGTGGTAGACACTGAGGTGGACTGGGGAATTGGGGGTGCGCCAAGGAGAAATGACGATAGGAAGGGTGGGTGGGGGTCTGAAAAGGGGGTAGCTCTGAAAAAAAAAAAAAAAAGGTTGCAACAGACATTGACTTACCGTGAGGGCACGGGTGCGCAGCCCATAGTTCGTTTGTTGATGTGGTTCGAGAAGGGTAAGGTAGTGATTATGTTGTATGTATGTTTTGTCATGTTTGCTATACACAACTCGAAGAGAGTGTGTGTGTGGGGTCCCGATTGGTTCTTTATTCATGATGTGTGTGTGTGGGGTCCCGGTTGGTGCTTTATTCACGATGTTCATGGGACGCTGGACCCAGTTTCCAGCAGATGGCACTCCACATCAATAGACAGGAGAATGTGTGTGTGTGTGTGTGTGTGTGTGTGTGTGTGTGTGTGTGTGTGTGTGTGTGTGTGTGTGTGTGTGTGTGTGTGTGTGT